TTCCTTGTTTCCTGCTCTCCTGGTTCCCTTCATTCCTTGTTTCCTGCTCTCCTGGCTCCCTGCATCCCTAGTTTTCTGCACTCCTGGCTCCCTGCATTCCTTGTTTCCTGCTGTCCTGGTTTCCTGCACTCCTGGCTCCCTGCATCCCTAGTTTTCTGCACTCCTGGTTCCCTGCACTCCTGGTTCCCTGCATTCCCGGTTTCCCGTATCCCCGTGCCCATCCCGTACCTCTCCCAGGGAGTAGTAGCGCCGCGGGATCTGGGAGTCGGGGTAGATGTTCTCCAGGTACCAGGAGAAGGGTTTGCACTTGAGGCTTTCCCTCAGGGCCTTCCTGACGGACACGTCTCCATAATCCACCTTCACCACACCTGGAATGGGAAGAGAAGAACTGAGCAAAATCCCCTTTGGACCATCCCAGAGCCACCTCCAGCCAGCACCTGCTCCCAGTTATCCGTGTCCACGTGCTGGGATTGGGGTGCAGTGGGATGGGAGGGATGTCAGCCTCACTGAGGACTATATAAAATTAAATCATCTGAGAATCCCACAACCATGGAATGGTTTGGCTTGGGAGTGACCTTAAAGCTCGTCCTGTTCCATCCCCCTTCCATGGGCAGGGACACCTTCCCCACCTTAAAGAACAAGGTGATGACAATTTTTAGAGAAATTTAGTACAAACCCCAGTAAAACTGTCCATTACTACCCAAAACACTTCTTTTGGATCCCTTCTCATACCCACATTTCAAATATTTGCTGGTTACATCTCTGACAAACCAGGTTTGTGTATCTCTATGTAATTGTAGGAGATGATGTAATTCTGGATAATTAACTGAAATACAGTTGCCAGTTCTTGCTCCAGGCTAAATCCAAGTGCTCCTGGAAGCACTTTATCCTGACAACAATGGCCAGGAGCGACTGATGCTCCACCAACAAAAACTCCTCAGGAGCTCCACGTTCCTGCCTGGTGCCAGGGAATTTAAGTGGCACCTGCTCAGGCTCTGGGGAAGCACGAAATGATAAACTCCAGTGAGTGGAAATATTCCAATAAAACACTCAAGCATAACTCAGAGAGAGAAATTAAATCACAAGGACTTCTGGGGTGGTGGAGGAGCAAAGGGAAATCAAATCCAGGTGAAATCCAGGTGCTGTCCTCTAGCAGAGGTGCTGGAGGTGCTGAACAGGAGCAGAATCTGCAGCTCCCAGGGCATCTTCTGAGCAGGGAGGGGTCTGGGGAGGTTTTATCCAAGTCTCAAAGGATTCCAGGATTTTTACACTTTTCCCCTCAAAGAAACAGAGGTAATTTATCAGCTGCTCTGCCAGCAAGGGGATTGATCCCAGAGTTCCACTGGACTGTTTAGGGGGAAAAAAGCATCTAAAGGTCAGCTCTTAGTTAATATTTTAGTTTTCCCAATGGCAATTACAAAGTCACTGATTTAATTTACATGAACTGAACCCCCTCAGCACCAAACCTGGGCTCCCATGGAGTGGCAACACCTCAGGGCTGTCCCCTTGCTTTGTGTGTCCTTTATTCACCCCAAAAGGACTCAAAGGTTCCTGTTCCAAACCAGCCCAGTACCACCAGCTCTCAGGGAAAACATCCCTGGGAAAACACCTTGTTTCTGTTCCACTTCCCAATCCTCCCAGGGATTTCCATTCCCACCTTTGCTTCAGCCCTGAAATTCCTGGGTAGAAAAAGCAACAAACCTTTTCCCACTCAATGCCACTTAACTTCACACTTCAATTTCTGCAATTAAACAAACTCCAGCAAAATAAATTCTGGTTTTCCATTCTAACAGAGGTCGAGATGGGGAGATTTTGGGGTGTTTGGCACTGGGCATCAGCCCCCTTTCCCTTCCAAGTGTCTTCCCTTTCTTTCCTAAACTCACATTCCCTGATCCCAAAGCTCCTTTATTTTATATATTTATCTATATATATTTATATAGATAGATATCTATATATATTTTTATATGATATATATTTATATATTTTTTATAAATATATATTTATTTATATCTATATTATACCTATAAATATTTTTTTTATTTATATATATTCTCCTTATCTTGCACCAACTTGCACACCCCCCCTGCTCTGTCTCCAAGCAAGGACCTCATCTATATGGATCCCAGCAACCCCCTCTATTCCCTCCTGCTCCATTTAAAGCCAGGCCATTATAAATCAATCCCTATTTATTGTCCCCACTTGCTGAATAATCGATGGGACTCACAAGAAACATAAAAATAAGGAATGACTCAAGTCTGCTCCCACTTAAATAAGGAAATGCAAGGAAAACGTCCTTGGGTGCAACAAAGGAATGAAACACCAGGGGAAGCTGCAGGAAGAACGGATTTAAAATATCTCAGGGAGGCAGCAGATTGTTTCCAGGGAGCAGCAGATGTGTTTGCAGCACAAATTAAATGGTTGCTGGCTTCTATTACACCTGATTTTTTTTTTCCTCCCCCAATAGGCATATCCTGAAAACGGGCAGACAAGGGTACAGCTCCAAATTTGGCAAAGTGTGCCACTGCTGAGCAAGGAGATGTTAATTCATGTTGGTAAAGATGGAGGAAAAAAAAATCATCTGGAATGTAATAGAAGAACTGAGAATAGTTTCATTTATGTAAGAGTAACACCTGGAAAACTTAATCCATATGAGAGGTTTGCCACAGTCCAGGGGCTGGAAAAGCCTGGGAGAAAGTGGTTGTTGTACTGAGGGGATTTTCAGTGGATTCAAAGGGAAAACAATGTGAGCAGAGAAGTCACTCTGAGCTCATCTGGCTGGAGCTCAGCTCTGAACACCTGGATCACCAGCTCCTGATCCAAGGAGTCCCCTTTAAGGGACAGAGCTAATCCTGGAATCATGGAATGGTTTGGGTTGGAAGGGAAATTAAAACCCATCCAGTGCCACCCCCTGCCACGGGCAGGGACACCTTCCACCAGCCCAGGTTGCTCCAAGCCCCGTCCAGCCTGGCCTTGGACACTTCCAGGGATCCAGGGGCAGCCACAGTTTCTCTGCCCAACCTGGGCCAGGGCCTCCCCACCCTCCCAGCCAGCAATTCCTTCCCAATATCCCATCTCTCCCTGCCCTCTGGCAGTGGGAAGCCATTCCCTGTGTCCTGTCCCTCCATCCCTTGTCCCCAGTCCCTCTCCAGCTCTCCTGGAGCCCCTTTAGGCCCTGCAAGGGGCTCTCAGCTCTCCCTGGAGCCTTCTCTTCTCCAGGTGAACCCCCCCAGCTCTCCCAGCCTGGCTCCAGAGCAGAGGGGCTCCAACCCTGGGAGCAGCTCCGTGGAAAGTTGGGATAAGAGCAAAGAAGTACCTGGAATGTGACCCTGGGCCGTGGATCCCCGTCATTTCCACTGATCATATAATGACTTAAACCAATGGCAGGCTGACTGCTAATTACACAGATTAGCTGCTGTTAATGACAGAAATGAACTCCTTGGTAGAGGTGCCAATAACAGCCTGGTATGGGGGGAAGGAGAGAGAATTGCTGAAAATAGAGGAATATGTTCTTTTGTGGCTCTGGGATGGGGATTTCCACTCCCCTCTGGGCATGGGGACTTCCCAAGGAGGCAGGGAAAAAACCCTTTTTGCAGTCAGACAATTGCAACCAGTTGTCCTGATTTAGGAGGGAAATCCCTCCCATTCCCACCTCCCAGGACCATTTTAATCTCACCCCAAAGGTGGCTCCGACACCAGCTGGGCCACACAGCAGCTCCTGTTTTACAGAGCAAATTCCTCCATTGCCTTTCTTTCCTCCTTTAATCCCATTTGAGTGTATCCAGCATTTCTGAGGAGTTTTTTTAAGCCCTCCTGAATTATTTGGCTCGTGGCTGGAGCTGCAGCTCTGAGTCAGGCTCCAAGGAAAACCCAAAGCTCCCTGTGAGTGCAGTGTTACACTAAACCAAACAGACAAGTGTTTCTCATCACTTGTAGGGATATTTGGGGATTTTTTTCCCCCTTTTTTTTTTTCAATCTAGGTTGGATTTCTTAAAAATTCTAGTTCCTGACTCATCTCAGCACGTGGCAACAAACAGGCAACACATCCATGGCCACATTCAAGGCTCCCAGAAATAAAGAGGTTTTTTTTACCCACACACCAGGATAAGGGAAGGCACCAGCTTAAAATATGTGCAAGACCCCCAAAATTTCAGATGGGCTCTTCTTCAGCATTGTTCTGTTTTTACAGGCAACTCTATTGATCAGATTTTAATCTGGAATACAATTACTGGGTGTGCACCCTAATTATGCTGAGAGAGATATTTAATACCCTTCACTGGGAAGAACCATTGGCTCCTCTCTCTCCTGGGATATCAACTGAGGAATCCAATTAATCAGGTCCCAGGAGAGGAGTGGGAAGATGAGTCTGTGCTGATGGATAACAGCTTCAGAGACCTAATTACTAACATGCAACTTGCTTTGTTCTCAAGCAGAATTATGCAGAGATCTCCCCTTTTTTTTTGATTAATAAATGAAGAGAAAAGGATAAAAAATCAGATTAAAAATATTGGGAACAATTTCTGATCTTTAGGAATGACCTATTTAAAAAAAAAATCTACTATTTCCTGTGCATTTTTATGGAGAGTTTTCAGTTAAAATGGTAATTTTGTTTTCGAAATCTTTTCTCCTCTCTTTGCTTCTTAATCCTGGGCAACATCATTATCTCATTTTATGTCTCAATTAATACAGTATATTAATAAATAACTTCAAAAGAGAGCAGAAAATACCAAGACCACCTATACCAAAGCTTTTTCCTGTGCCACGGGCAGGAAATTTTGAATTCCACAAACCTTGTCCTGCCAACACCACTCTTACTGACCTGATTTCACCCTTTTCTTTCAATGAAATCGTGTCCAGGGGTTCTCTGTTGGAATTTTGTATCAAAACCTTGGGGAAACATGGGAATGTGTGACTGTAAAGATGAGAGGGTACGTTCAGAAGCACCAAATTTCAGCTGATTTGGGCTCATTTCAGAAGGGAATGGTGGTTTTTCTTCACAGAAAGAGCAGGTCCCTGCCCCAAGTCCCTCTCCAGCTCTATATTTAATGTATATCTAAGGTGTAGACACATAAATACCTTTTTTACACCACTAACAGGGCACTTAAGATGTGCAGAGTTATTTTTAAGGTGTTTGAACTTTTTTTCCCTTCCTAAGGGTTTTCCAGGATGGATCCAGAATGTTTTCTGAGCAGCCACAGGACACGTGGGATAAGAGGAGCACAAACTCAGAGTGATTCCCAGCCTGGGATTAAATCCTGGCACCTGAGCACTGACTGAGATGTCCTGAACCCCTGGAAAAATCCAAGCCCCAAAGCAGCTTATGGAAAAAAAGCAGGAGTGCAGCTGGAATGAGCTGAGCTGCAATAGAGATGAAATTAAAAACTCCCACAGGTATTATTTACTTCTTGGTGACACTGAAAATCTAAACTGACTCTGCTGCGGCAGAATTTCAATTGGACAGAGCTTTAAAGGTGGAAAAACGGGGAAATTATCCCAAAGCACACAATAAAACAGCAACAATCAGCTCCGTGGTTGCTCTCCACCACCTGCAGGGAAGGGAATTCCTGAAGGGAATTCCTGGCACTGAGGATTGAGCTCCCAAGGGCTCCTGCTTTCCATGACCCAGAGCATCTCTGCTGCCTCTGCCACTGCCATCCTGCCCAGGGACCTTCAGGGATTTTAGGGATAACCTGGTCAAATTCTGGGTTCAGAGACCTTCCCTGCTTGGCTGCAAATGAACATTATGGGAATAATGTTCCAAAAAAAACCCTGTGAACTGCAGGAGAGGAGGGGCCTTAAGGTGTTTTTCCTTGGGAACAGAACACAGAGGGTTTGACACGGAGGGGTTGGAGCATGTCCAGGGAAGGGAACGGAGCTGGGAAGGGGCTGGAGCAGCAGGAGGGGCTGAGGGAGCTGGGGGGGCTCAGCCTGGAGCAAAGGAGGCTCAGGGGGGACCTTCTGGCTCTGCAACTCCCTGACAGGAGGGGGGAGCCGGGGGGGGTCGGGCTCTGCTCCCAGGGAACAAGGGACAGGAGGAGAGGGAACGGCCTCAGGCTGTGCCAGGGGAGGGAAAGGCTGGATATTGGGAGAATTCCTCATGGAAATGGTCATCAAATCCTGGAAGAGGTGGAGTCCCCATCCCTGCAGGGATTTAAAATCCATGTGGATGTGGCACTTGGGGACAGGGGTCAGTGGTGGCCTGGGCAGTGCTGGGGGATGGTTGGACTCAACGATCTAAGAGGGCTTTTCCCACCCAAACCATTCCATGATTCCACGACACATCCGCACCTCCCTCACACCTCCCCTTCCCAGCTCCCCAGACCGGAACACCCAGGGAACAACGCTGAGGGAACAACGCTGAGGGAACAATATTGAGGGAACAATATTGAGGGAACAATATTGAGGGAACAATGCTGAGGGAACAATGCTGAGGGAATGATGCTGAGGGAACGATGCTGAGGGAATGATGCTGAGGGAACGATGCTGAGGGAACGATGCTGAGGGAACGATGCTGAGGGAACAACGCTGAGGGAACAACGCTGAGGGAACGATGCCGAGGGAACGCTGCCCTACCCGGGGAGATGATGTAGAAGAAGTCCTTGAAGTCGTCCATCCAGACCTCGGCCAGCCTGCGGTTGTTCTTGTTGATGACGTGGCCGGTGCCCCCCGGGAAGGTGTAGGGGGTGGCCTTGCGGAACACGTGGCCCACGTGGGAGCAGGTGACGATCTCCAGGGAGCCCCCGCACTGCCAGACCTGCGGGGGGACGGGAGAGCCCCGGGTCAGAGGGACCCCTGGCACAGGGGCACCCACAGCGAGGGCAGCACGTGGCCCCCCACTGATCTCCCCGGGAATTTTAAGGGAAGGTTTTATGGGAACTTCGGGGATACAGCTCTGGATGGCAGAGAAATGGGGGAGACTTTACCTGCGAGGGGGGAGCTGGTGGGAAGGGGTCACTTGGCTCTCTGACCCCATCCCACTGAGAAAGGGGTCACCCCTAAGGGATTAGTGCAGGGTATGGATTTTGTGGGATTTCATGTTTAAAGAAACAGGGAAGAACTTTTACAGATACAAAAATTTTATATCTATTTTATATATATAATGATATATATTATATATATCATTATATGTAATTTATATAATTATATACAATATATATTACCATATATAATTATATTATATATAATAATATATCATTAGAATATATAAATATATAATATATAAATGTATAATATATAATTATATATATTTATATACTATATGTTTATATATTATATAAAATTATATATATTTACCTAATATATATTTTATATAGAAGTATCTATATTTTTATATAATACATTATATACAATATATTTTATAAAAATTATATATATTTATAAATGTTATATATTTATAAACATTATATATTAATATATATTATATATAGTATATATAATTTCATTATATCTTCATATATAATTATTTGCAATATATAATTATACTATATATTATGTATAATTATATATAATATTCATATAATTATACTATATGTTTTATATGGAATTATATATATAATATATATTATGTTACACATATTATACATATATTGCACATATTACATATGAGAACATAATATGCAAAATCATATATAATATGTTAGATACTACATATTATATATAAAATACATGATGTTTACATTGTATATAATATTTGTATTATATATATTATACATACACACATATTTTTATATATATAAAATATATATATGTGTGTATAATTTAATTCTTTATTATCAGGTCCCTCCTGGTGATAAACCACCAAGTTTAGGAGCCATTGGGTGGTTTAAACATTAACACTGGTGAAGTCTTGTAATTAGAGCTCCTTGACACAGCCCTGAGTTACCACGACAACCTAATGCAGATTTGATTTAATTAGGGCTCCCTCCTTTCCCCTAATTTCATTAGCATGAGGAGTGACGTGGCTCTGTGGGATCAGCAAGGACAACATCCCAGGATCCCTGTTTTTAGCACCCCGGGTTTGGCTGCTCGGGGACAACTCGGGCTGCTCAGTGGGGACCTCAGGCTGATGGATCCCAAAAAACACAAACAGCCCCGAAGGGAGCACGGAACAAACCCAAAATACACACAAAGCAACTGGGAGGAACTGGGCAGCTCAGGAAGGGGGAGCCACAACTTCCCCACCAGTTCTGCTGCTCTCCCCGGCAGGAAACTCCTCCCATGCCACCATTTGTAAAAATATCTGTTCCTGGGCACTTGGAAAGCCCATTTTTGGCTCTCCTGGGTGCAACCTGCTCCCTGTGACAGCTGGAACAGGAGTGGGAATGAACCTGCACCCTCTTCCTATAAAAAAGACTTTTTTCAATATTATTTAAGAAACCTGAACAAATCAACCTTCCGGGATGCTCCCATGTAAAAGGGCCTAAAAGGGCTGCAAATCCTTTCAATGCTGATGTTTGGGATAATGGCATTTGTTTGGGATAATGGCATTTGTTTGGGATAATGTCACTGCTGCTGGCACATGGGATGGTCCAGGGGGTGGAACCCTAGACAGGATCCAGGGAGGGAAAGGCACTTTGGAGCACTTTGGAGGATTTGGGGATTCCCAAAACAGGGGGTTTGGGGGATCTGGACCAACATCAAAACTCCCCCCTCCCATTTGATGATAAATCCCCTCATATAAAAACATCTCCAGGAACATCCTGACTGCTTTCCACAAGTTCCTATCTTGGTGAAGGACTCTGGGATTTCAGGGATCTGTTCTACACACAGGCTCTGGAATGCATGATGTGTAAGTAATAAACAGGAGAAAAATACCCTCAGAAACCTAATACCAAAAATCTCTCTAATGAAACCAACTGAACTGGTATATCTTGAACATTTTCCCTATGGAATTCTAAGGACCCTGACACAGAGAAAATTAATGCAGCCCAAAGACAGGGAAAAATGCAACCACACAAATACATTTTAAGTACAATTTGTGAGCAAACTCTGCTCCTCCAATGAGTTCATGCACTCACACAGCTGAGGAATCCTGCAAAGCACAGAGAGCTTTTCCATCAGCTTGCCAAGTGATTAGGGATTTATATTCCCCAAATTCCACTCCCCAACATGCAGAATTAATTCCAATGTCACCCTGTACTTCCAAAATAACCTCCCAGGCACGAACCGGCCCCGGGACCCAACTAAGTCCACACAGCCCTGGGATCCCAAAATCCAGAGGAGGGATTGGGATAAAACTGTTCATTTCCATGTGTTCCAATGCTCTGCTCCATCTGGAATTTTGCAGCTGGAGAATCACCCACACGGGCAGGGTGAGATTGCTGTTAATGATCTGCTGTCCCTGGGAAAGCACCCACAGAATTCCAGGATGGTTTGGGCTGGAAGGAACCTTAAATCCCATCCAGTGCCACCCCCTGCCCTGGGCAGGGACACCTTCCACCAGCCCAGGTTGTTCCAAGCCCCGTCCAACCTGGCCTTGGACACTTCCAGGGATTCAGGGGCAGCCACAGCTTCTCTGGGCAACCTGGGACAGGGTCTCATCCTGATTCACAGCACGAATTCCTTCCCAATATCCCATCTAAACCAGTTTAAACACATTCCCCCTTGTCCTGTCCCTCCATCCCTTGTCCCAAGTCCCTCTCCAGCTCTCCTGGAGCCCCTTTAGGCCCTGCCAGGGGCTCTCAGCTCTCCCTGGAGCCTTCTCTTCTCCAGGGGAACCCCCCCAGCTCTCCCAGCCTGGCTCCAGAGCAGAGGGGCTCCATCCCAGCAGTTTTTTCCATCAAGAAAGATTTTTCATTGGAACCACACTAAGATACAAGAGAATTAAACCTCCCTGCCCCTTACTCAGTTCCTGTAAGAACTCCCACAACAGTCAAACACAAACTTCAGAGCCCAGGAAGAACTTGTCACATCCCTGAGGAAATCCACGTTTCTGTGTCCTCTTCTGCACTTCCAACAGCTGCCAAAAATCCCAAATAAGCATCATCTTACCCCTGTCAGAGCACACATTTCCTTCCCCCAGCCCTGCTTTGGCCTACTTGGATTATTCTAAAGAATAATCTTTTTTTTTTTCCTGGTGCAGAGATTATTTTTTATACCCTTTCCCAAAGCCACATGAGCTCCTTTCTGAGTAGCAAGTTTTCAGGGCATTCTCCAACTGGGAAAAAAACATCTAGAGAATACAACAGAAAATTAAAAATGCTTAAGGATTTCTATAAATAAAAATAAGGCTTAAGAATAAATGAGGTTTTCATTATTAAATCAGACTCTTAGAGCTGGAAGAGATTCCTGCCAGGACTATTATTATTATTTTTTTCCAATTGCCTTTATTAAAAGACATCCCATAAAGGAGTCATTACAGGGCAATCAGCAGCGACCAGCAGCACAGCAAAAAGACAAAATATTGATTTACCCAGAAATAATCAAATTATACCCCGTGGATGCTGCTCCAGAGCCCTCCCCGAAATTTCTGGGGGCCTAAAAGGGCTGCAAATCCTTTCAATGCTGATGTTTGGGATAATGGCATTTGTTTGGGATAATGTCACTGCTGCTGGCACACGGGATGGTCCAGGGGGTGGAACCCTGGACAGGATCCAGGGAGGGAAAGGCACTTTGGAGGATTCAGGGATTCCCAAAACAGGGGATTTTGGGGATCTGGACCAACTTCAAAACTCCCCTCTCCCATCTGATGATAAACCCCCAAATAAAAACAGCTCCAGGAACATCCTGATGGCTCAACCCTATTATTTTCCAAACCACAGCGGAGTCTCCTGTTTTCCATGAGATATTCCAGAGATATCCTGCTGGATAATGGCAGGTTTGGAGCTGGAGGAACCTCCCCAAACCCTTGGCTCTCTCTGCTCCCAATTTCCTGCAGATGTGTCACATGAGGTGGGTCTTAAACCCCTTTTCTGTCCTTGACCCAGTGGGACTCAATGCACCTGAATATTTGACTGGCCTTTACAGAACAATTAATTCCAATAAATAATTCCAAGAAACAGCACCAAGAAGTTCCCTGGCCCTCCTATGGCAACATCCCAGGGCTGGAAATTCATCATTTTATTCATTTTATTTCTGTTCTTAACACCAAGCCCTCTCTTAGGCCACACACATATTCCAGGCTGGCAATGGTTCTTTAAATTTAAGTGGGAAAATCTTCTGAAAACAAAAAAATCGTGTTCTCCAATATGAAATTCATGCCCCAAAATCCATGTGTCTCCTCTCCTTGCTGCCCTCCCCTCGGCCTTAAAAAGTATTTTATATTCTGATTATATTCTTATATTCTGATTATGTTCTTATTATAGACTTATATTCTTCTATTCTGATGATATTCTTCTATTCTGATTCTCAGAGCAAGGGCAGAGCTGCTGCCCTGCCTTTATCCCCTGGGATTTCTGTGGAGAGCACAGATATTGTTGGTCTTTGTCCCTCCACGCATTTGGGACCGAGATTTATAATTCAAAGCTGAAATGAAGATCTTATGCTTGGTATTCTCACTAAATTTATAGAAGTTAAGCCCATCTCTGGCTTACTGAGAGAAATATGGGATGGAATTCAAGCTGCCAAGAGCCAGAGCAGAACAGCACCAGGGGAAGACAAAATAACACCACTGAAAAGTGCTCAGCTCCTCGGGAAAAGCTTCCCAAAACATTGGAACATTATTCAAGCAAGAGTAGGAATTAGGAATATCCCATTTAGGGTATTTCTTTACCATTTGCTGGAAGCTGGATAAATGATCACAGGCTGCTCTGTGTCATACCAGGTATTTATGGAATCCCAGAATCCCAAAATGGTTTGGAGTGGAAGGGACCTTAAACCTCATCTTGTTCCACCCCTGCCATGTCCATATTCTCCAACACAGACCCTTAAACAAAACCCCCTTGTTTATCCCTTTGTGTTGAAGTTAGGTTTTCAGGGATTATCTTTTTTAGGATGAAAACTCACTGTTCTTCCCAAAGGAGAGTTAAGGATTTTAGATTTCCCTGACAAGAAAGGGCCCTTTCCATAGGAATGACCCAAAATCCGTCCCACAAAAGCCTCTGTAAGGGACAAATTCCAGCAGTAACAAATGGCCTCGAGGTTCCCCCTGCCAGGGCTTGATGTGCATCAGCAATTCTCATCTTCAAATGCCAGGGAACTTTCCAGGAATCCCGAGGAACAGCAAGAACACACTGATTTAATCTGAGACAGGCACATTTTTTATGTTTTAAAGCAGTGCCAGTCACTCTGTGCTCCAGGGAGCTGCTCTAAAACGTGGGAAACAACCAAGGAGTATTTTAGGGGTGTACACACCCAAAAAATGTTGAAATTACTCATTTCAAACACTCAGGCTCAGCAGAAGTGACTCAACCCTTCGATTTTACTGCAAAGCTAACGAATAAAGTCGATAGAAATGGCCTGAAAATGCTTTTAAATTCTCAGTTGGTCCTCTCTAGAAATACCTCCTTCATAAAAACCTTCAAAGGGGTTTCTGTCATGGAAAATGGTCCTGGTTGAACAGGAAAGACAGAAAAAAGGGACAAAGGGCCTCTCCAGGACGTGCTGTGGGTCCCACACAGGAATCCCGGGGGTTATTGCCTGGAATTCCTGCAAATTTTGCCCCCTCAGAGCAGTTCAAAGCCATTTCCAACATCCCTGCCAACCAGCACTCATCAAAGCCTCCATTTTCCAGCTTTCCTTTCTGTCTAAAGGGCAGTTATTAAATGCATTTCCCTCAGAGATGTGATCCATGCCATGGGAACACACCTACCCCAGCAGGAACATAGGGATTTTCTGCAGGATGGGGAATTTCCCTCACACAGCCCCAAAATCCCAGCCAGACCTTGGAAGTTCATGATGTCATAACCTCCAAAACTTCTGTTAAAACATATATTTATATTGTTTTATATACAAATTTACATCAATATTGGTCATCAACATCAGCTCACAGGAAGCCTCGTTCCTTGTAAGAAGGAATTACTAAAATACACAGAATTTTGAAAGCAGCAAAACCCCCAAAGAGCATTAAAATATTTCATGCAGTAAAAAGGGTGGAAACATTGCAGGGAGGTGGTTCCCAAATCCTTGGAAATTCAAATAAAGCCATCTAAGAGTGCCCTGAGCGTGGGGTAGGAACTGGTACAGTACAACTGTGGGGTTTTGGACAGAAAATGAAGGAAAACAGCAATTACCCTAAAAGACATTTCAAGATTCTCGCCACCCCAGATATCCATTCCTGCATCGTAAGTTCCTATCTCTTCAAAGTAGTTTCTGTCAATAGAAAATAGGCCACCAGCCATAGTAGGGGTCCTAGTTGAAAACAAACAGAAAAAAAAAAAACAAAAACAAAAACGAAAACAACAAAACAAAACAAAAACGAAACAAAAAGAAAAGAAAAGGGAAAAAGAAAAGAAAAAAGAAAAAATACCTTTTGAGAGACGCTGTGGAATTGAGCAGCGACACTACAGCACATTTCACTACCTCCCAGTTGCACTACACAGCATTTCTAGGCACACAGCTGGAACAGAAGCCACGAGGAACAAAAGGACAATTTGACTGTACTTGCTGTGCTCTCCCCCAAAATCCACGGGAGCCCCGTCCCAGCCACAGCTCCGGGTCATTCCCTACCCGTCAAACTGCATTTCCAGGGATTATCAGGGAGCATTGTGGTGGTGAAGTGGGTGGAATCCTGGCCCTCTGCGTGCAGAGCAGCAGCTCCAATCCCATCTGGAATGCTCAGTGAGGAGTTCAGTGCCTCGGCTTTGCCTCAGAGGAGACTAAATGTGCATAAAATTACCAGGCCTAATCTCTCCTAACAGGATTATAAATCCTTACAACCGGCAAATCCACCGGAGTGCAGCTCCCTTTGTGTGAGGGTGTCCTACTTCCCTGTTTTCCCAAATGACATGAGGAATGCCCACCCCAGCTGGCAGGAGCACAGCTCTGAGAGAGGGAACAACACCCCCCCAAATCCCAGCTCTCCTAAAATATCCACACATGGACTCGGGGGTGCAGATAAAGAGGGTGGAGGTTGAGCCCAAATTTGTCCCAGCCCTGTTTGCTGAGCTCTCAGCAGTCCTGAGGGAATTGTGGGAAATCTGTGGGATTTGGTGGGGAGGACCTCCAGGCACATTGAGGTGTCATGGAATCATGGAATGGTTTGGGCTGGAAGGGACCTTAAAGCTCATCCCCTGCCATGGGCAGGGACACCTTCCACCAGCCCAGGTTGCTCCAATCTGGCCTTGGACACTCCCAGGGATCCAGAGGCAGCCACAGCTTCTCTGGGCAACCTGGGGCAGGGCCTCCCCACCCTGTCAGGGAAGGATCAAGGATCCTTGTTCAGGAATCAAGGATCAGCCACGTTTCCATCCTCAGCTTCAAACCCAACAGCCCAGTGGGTGACACTGGATTCTGGGGTGGGTGACACTGGATTTTGGGGTGGGTGACGTGACACCAGCTCAGCCCAGCCCAGCCCAGCCTCTGCAGGAACAGCAGCAATAATGAGGGTTCCTACAGCTTCCCCTCAGTTCCACACCTCTCAGTGCTATTTTACCTCCTGGAGTCACTCCAGTGATGGGTTCAGACTAACTCTGATCCCCAGTTGAACCCAGTTTGATTTTTGGATACAGCCTCAGCTTCCCATTTGTGCAGTTCCTGGCAGCCAACAGGATTCCCACCCCTGGCCCTGCACCACACAAACTCCAGGTTTGCTGCATCCCACTGATGCCTCAGCCCAGCCCAGCACGCCCTGATGGCAAGAGAGACATCCAAGGGACCCCACTCCTGCCATGGGATACTCCCTAATTCCAGGCAACAGCACCTCACCTTGCATCCCACAAGGAATCCCATCCTGGGCAGCCACCACTCCAACAGCTCCCACAGTCACAAAATCACTAATAAACAAGACCACTATTTATTTATCTTGGAATAAGGTTTTTACACCTTTTACACAGTCTCAATCCCTGCTGTGCATCACCTAGGCAGGATTAATTGCAATCAACTCTAGGTTTAATAATTAAGTTCTAATTATTAATAATAAGATAAACACAATACCAAGAGTTTCAAGGAGCATTTGAACAATGCTCTCAGGCCCATGGTGGGATTTTTGGGGTGTCCTGTGCAGGACCAGGAGTTGGACTTGATGGTCCTTGTGGGTGCCTTCCAACTCAGGATGTTCTATGGTTCTAATACACTCCTAACATTTAGTCTTGTATTTTTCCTCCCAGTATCTAATTTATACTCGAGAAAAGATTTTCCAGAACAAATCTATATTTTTAGTATTTCTAATACTTGCCTGGAGCGCCTTCAACTCAAAAAACTGAAGGGCAGGCACGGAAATATCCATAAAAATGGGCTGAGCAGGGACTGCAAAAGCCCAGCACAGAAACACTTCATGTTTTTAATCCTTGTCAGACGAGATGTTTGGGAGCTGATCTTTAGCACAGACAAGGTTTCTGTTGCTGCAGGAAAACGAGTTCCCTCAAAGCAAAGGATGCTCTGCAGAGTACAAATACTGTACAAGGGTCTCCCAGTGGAAAAAGGAGGAGGAAAGGTTTAACAGGGCTGGGTTTAGCCTGGTGAGCACTGCCTGCTGAACCAGCCCTGCCTGAGGAGCAGCCGCTCCGCTCACAGAATTCCCAGACCTTCCTGCAGCCACTAGACCATTCTCAGGAAGACTCAGCTTCAAGCTCCACCTCTGCCCAGGGCAACCACCCAGGTTTTGCTCCCTGAGCAGCAAAAACAGGCTTTGCACTTAAAATAACCCCTTTTGACAAGGTCTGCTCATTTCCAAGCGTGACGGAGCCGGAGGTTGCTCCGGTGACAGTGGAATTACAGCATTTACATGGAAACAGAGAAAATCCTCAGGAGCAGCCAAACAGCAGTGAATAGTCTTTGTTATCCAAACAAAAAAATACCTCTAAACCCACTGCCACGAGTCCCTGGGGGCTGCTGGACCTTCAGAGTGAGACACAAACTCCTGCATCAACCCCTGCCCGCTCCAAGGCTCAGGGAATGTGTGCTCCCAAAGCCACAGCTCCTATTTAATTCCTGTAAATAAACCTGGAAAAAACGTGTTTCAACTGATCCCAACACGTGTCAGAGAATGAAAGGTTTGTCTTGAGAAGCTCTGTTTCCAGAATAGCCTGTAATTCAGGGGGGTTTCTCCTGAGTGGCCCTTGGTCTCAGTTTGGTTTCAGTCCTTGCAGAGACACCTCGGGAGCTGAAAGGTCCCCATGGTCATCCTGCTCCTGAGCACTGTAAGGAATCAAGGAATCATGGAATGGTTTGGGTTGGAAGGAACCTTAAAGCTCATCTGTCCATGGGCAGGGACACCTTCCACTAGCCCAGGTTGCTCCAAGCCCCTTCCAGCCTGGCCTCGGACACTTCCAGGGATCCAGGGGCAGCCACAACTACTGGACATGACACAAAATTGGGAAGTACATTCCAAAAACCCCCCAAGAAATGCCAAAATCTGACCAGCACCAACTGCCACCCCCTCACCCCCCAGGGTGGGAGGCACTGAGGGGTGGGGGTGGCCTGACCTGCTGCCAGTGCCCTGCTCAGCCCCTAGCCCTGGCACTGCCCACACCCATCCATCACCTTGGAACATCTGCCAGCAGGAAAGGCTTTCCCTGCCTTCCCAAAACCTGGGATTCCTTGGGCTGGAGGTACCGTTTCAGACTGGTTTTGGGCAAGGTCCTGCCCTGTGGTGTCTATTAACTGACCTGAGCAATGGATGGGTGAGGGAGGAGACCAGGGGTGAAGAACCAGGAGGAGAAACAAGGGGTAGAGGTGGCAGAGACGGGTGTGTGAAGAGCAGGAATAGCGTCCAGGAACGGATCCTGGAGGAGAATGGAGCTGTCCAAGGTATCCCTGAGCAGCACAAGCAGCACCTGTGGATCCCCACGTTCCCAGTGCCAAAAATAAGGCAAAGAATCCCATTTTTCTAAGGAATGTCAGGAGCTCCCTCCCCGCTGTGCTGCACGACAAGGAGCTGTGGGCTTTGAAAGGCAGAGTCATGGAATTCATTAACCTTTCCCAGCAAATCCAGAGATTTCAAGAAGATGTTTGACTCCAATACAGGACTGAAATCTGGTCAGCTCCTGTAACCCCCTCAGCAAATCCACCAGCACTGATCAGATCCATGGACTGGGAAGAGCCAGGGACCCTTTTCCAGAGGTTCAGCACCTTCTGCCCTTAATTCCTTCAGGGTTAATGAGTTAATTTAGGGAATGTGATGGCTCAGCTCTGTCCAGACTCATCAGCCAGCTCTGCTCACTAAGCTTCCCTCATTTTTCCAAAAAAACACTTCTGCAGCAATACAAATTACACATAAATAATAAATTGTATGTAAAATAACCCCTGGTGTGATGGTGTTATGACTTTAAATCTAGAGAGCAAAGGTAGGAATTTATCCCTGTAATTATGGAAGATAAATTGTTTAGAGTGAAACCTGTGCAGATCACAGGGATTTTAAATCACCAAAGAGCAGAGTCTGAGGGCAGCAATGGTGTTACAGACATGCACACAAGGGTCACCCAAGGAGGTTTGTGTTTTCTGCCTGTTCCACTGATTATAAAGATAAATAGGAATAAAAACACAAGGTTGAAATGATGTGAGAGAACAGGGAAAGCAACACAGAATTAAAAAAACAAACTCACCAATTTGCTTCTACACTTTTGGCCTGGCTTAGGCTGGTGGTGGTTTTACCCCCCCTATTTTTTGAATATCCAGCTGCCAAACCTATTTGTAACTGAGCTCAAATGTGATTTTTTTCACAGAATCATGGAATCACTGAGGCTGGAAAAGCCCTCCCAGCCCATGGATCCCCCCTGTGCCCCATTCCCACCTTGTCCCCCAGCCCAGAGCACTGAGTGCCACAGCCAGGCCTTCCTGGGACACCTCCAGGGATGGGGACTCCAAACCTCCCTGGGCAGCCCCTGCCAAGGCCTGACCACCCTTTCCAGGAGGCACAGCTGGAGGGTAGAACTCAGCTCCTTGGATGTGGAATTTCTGGTAGTTCCTGATGTGCTGGTGAACACGGAGGAGGTGATGGTTGGACTCCATGGTCTTAAGAGGCCTTTTCCAACCTAAATGATCCCATGATTCTGGCATTCTTCTGACACCAAAGAGCCTGGAATGCCTAAACTAAACCCAAACACTTTGGTCTTAATCCAGCACAAGGAGCCTCCTCTTCACTCCACAGCTCTTGTGTGAGTGACAATTATGGCACATGTGGCACTTGGCCCCCTGACCCCCTCACCCACACTCTGCTCACCAACACCCCTCTGAGGGGAGAATCCCACAAAATCCCAACTAAAAGCTGGTGTGGGGAAAAAAAAAAGAAATACAAAACCCTCCATTTTTATATTTTAACAATTTGCAGAGTCAATGACTTGTCTGAGTCAGGGTTAACTTTGAGCCCTGCTCCATCCCAAGGGAAGGAAATAAGAGCTGGGAATTGCCTTTCTTTGGAAACTCCAGTTTCTCTTTGGAAATTCCCTTTCCCTCCTCTGGAAAATCTCTGTGCATTTGGGAGGCTTGGGATGGACAGAGCACAGAGAGGCTCTGCAGTTCGTCAGGGTAATTAATTAACTCTCCCAACTTCCACCCACACCTGAGCTTTAATGAAGGAGCTGCTGCCTGAATTCACAGCCCAGAGAGAATATTTTAGATCCTGAGAAAAACAGTTCTCTTGACTCCAAAATAGCTTCACCCTCTCCCTCCATTAAGGACTTCCTGGCAACCCTCCTCGCTTTTCCTGGGAATAAAACCTAAAACACCCAGCCCTTCCCTCATTCCAGGCTTTGAAGGACAAGCAATGACAGATTTTGGCCATTTTCTGGCAGAATTAATGGTGAAAGGCTTTTTCTGGCCCCTCCATCCCTGCCTTACCTGGACACACCATCCCCTGAGCTGCCTCTCCTTCTCCCTCCCTGCTCCAGGGATGTGCAGCACTGGAATTCTGCCTTCTCCATCCCACCTTCCACGGGTTAGAAACCATTACATCCACTCAGGAAACCTTTATTTCATCTATTTCTGAACTTCCCCTGAAGCCACAGAAGCCGTTAGAGCTGAGCAAATAACCCCTCACCAGTAATTTATTCAATTTGTTCCCTTTCAGCTTCATTTAGAATTTGGGAAGAGGTTTTGTTACACTCTGTGGTTCCAGCAATTAAATGGAAGAGGTCAGGACAGGCTCTTCCATCATCTCTGACTCGGGGTGCACAGTCATCAATCCTATATGGGCACATGTGGCACTTGGTCCCCTGACCCCTCCACCCTCACTCTGCTCATTAACACCCCTCTGACTGGGAGAATCCCCCAAAATCCCAGCTAAAGATGGTGGGGGGGGGGGGGGGAAAGCAATAAAAAAATGCTCTTAGGTCCTTTTTGACTCAGGATGCACAGTCATCAATCCTATGGGCACATCTGGCACTTGGTCCCCTGACCCCTCCACCCTTGCTCTGCTCACTAACACCCCTCTGATTGGGAGAATCCCCCAAAATCCCAGTTAAAAGCTGGGGGCGGGGGGGGAAAGCAATTAAAAAATGCTTTTAGATCATTTTTGACTCAGGGTGCACAGTCATCAGTTCTATTTCCCAAGAAAACAAAAGCTTCAAGTGCAAAAATCATCACAGCTGAATGTTGGGGCTCAGCGTCCAAAATGCTCAGAAACACCTTCTGCTATTTGGTTAAAAAAACAGAATAAAAAGGCTGTTTGCAGAAAACTAAGGGAGGGAGCTGAGCAGGCAGAAAGATAGGTGAGGAGGAGATGAAATGGGTTTTCTCAGCTCTGCTGCAGCACTAAGGACAGGGCAGAATTTGGCCTTCGCTCCCCACAACTCCCCGACGGGATCTCGGGAGAACTTTGGGAATTCCGAGTTGTTATCTAGGGAAGCACACACAGAGAGCAGGCCCGGGGCAGTGCCTCACCTGACAGGGAGGGTCCTGTCCCCTTTCCTCCTGTCCATCTCCCTCTGGGGCACCGGGTACCAGCGGAAGTTGAGTTTCCAGTTGAAGCCCCCGTAGGTCATGTCCGAGCCTGCCATGTACTCGAAGGTGTCGTCGCTGATCACGTCGATGATGGGACACACCACGGTTTTCCTGTGGGAAAAGGCACCTGGATCTGAGCAGGGCACTCAGAGGGGTGTTTTTAGGGTCAGCAGGGGGGATATTGCACGGATTCGGGGGGTTGTGTGTGGGGAAAAGGGGAGAAAAGGAGAGAGGAAAGGGGGAAAGGGGGGCAAAAAGCGGGGGGAGAAAAGGAGGGGAGGGAAGGGGGGGGGAAGGGGGAGAGAAAAGGGGGGGGAAGGGAGGAGAAAAAGGGGAGAAAAAGGAGGGAGGAAAAGGGAGGGAAAAGGAGGGGTCAAAAGAGGAGTGAAAAGGGGGGAGAAAAGGGGAGGGAAAAGGAGGGGGAGAAAAAGGGGTGAAAAAGAGGGGTGAAAAGGAGGGAGCAAAGAGGGGGAGAAAAGGGGGGAGAAAAGGGGAGGAGAAAGAAGGGGAGAAAAGTGGAGGAGAAAAAGGGGAGGAAAGGGGGGACAAAGGAGGGAGAAAGGGGGCAGAAAAGGGGGTGAAAAGCGGGTGAAAAGGGGGGAGAAAAAAGGGGAGAGAAAAAGGGGGGGGGAAGGGAGGTGAAAAGGAGGGAGAAAAAGGGAAAAATAGAGAGAAAGGTGAGGAGGGGGAAAAACAGGAGAAAGGAGGGGAAGAAAGAAAAAAGGAGGGGAAAAGGGAGAAAAAAGGAGGAACAGGGAAAAAAAAGAAAGATATGGGAAAAAGGGAGGGAGAAGGGAAAAACTAAAAAAGAAGGAAAAAAGGGTGCAAATTGCAGTGAGTTTTGGGGGTCAGACAGACAAGAAGCTGTCGCTGGTAACAAGCAGGGCAAAGCTGCCATTGGGGTGGGAACATCCAGACCCTGGGGAATATTATCACATCTTTATTTAGAAATCAGATTCTGATACCAGTATCAGAGAACAATCTGATAGATTAAAACCCAACTCTCCCTTTTTGAGCTCGGTGAAGTGTCTGAACCCCGATTTCTGGCACGGTGAGGCCCGGGAAGAGCCCGGAGCTGATCCCTGCCCCTGGAGCCAGGATTCCCTCACCTGTCCTCCTTGATCCTGGCCAGCAGAGGCTCCAGCCAGCCCAGGGTGCACTCACAGTGGGCATCCAGGAAGGTGATCACCTGGCCCTTGGAAGCGGCGGCTCCGCGGAGCCGCGCCCGGATCAGCCCCGAGCGCTGCTCCATCCGCAGGATCCTCACGGGCACCTCCAGGGTCTTCACGTAGTTCTCTAAGGAGGCCTTCAGAAACTCTGCCAAACATCATTGGGGGGGGAAACAGAGAGAAAATGTGGGGTTTAGAGAGGTTCAGCAGCCGTTGAAGACTCCAAAGGACACACAACTCCCCCCCCTGCTTGTTTGAGCATCTCAGGGGGATTGGAACGAGATGATCTCTAAGGTCCTTCCAACCCAACCCAGCCCTTTCTTGGGTTCTCTGATAAAATCACAGGAATTTTAAATAAATCCCAATCAATTATTTCCTGAAATAAACCAGCAAAGAATGAGTGCAAAACAAAGACCCTTTGGCCAATTTGCCAACGGTTCGATCCAAAAAGGGCCGTTTTGGATGAATTTAAACATTTGAGCTCTTCGGCTCCTCTTAGGAAAAACCGGAGTTACTTGGCTAAAATCTTCCTCCACCTTCTGGAACAGAGGACCATTAAGCCACTTAATGAACAGGGAAATGCAGGAGAGTAATTAGAGTTAAGTTAATGCTCCATGAGGCAGAACTAAAGGACGGAGTCGCTGCATCCTCTGTCCCTGGAGCAGCTGCAGCTCCAGGTTGTATTTGCCATTAGGCACATTTGGCTACTCCAGGATAATTTATCATTCCATTGATTCCATCTAAAGAACGTTGTGTGATTCCTTTTGCAGGTAATATGAGTTTCACATGGAGACAGTTTTCTTTCTAAAGCCTGGGTTTAAAAAAAGAACTGGAAAAAAAAAACCAAGAGCAAAAGAAATGAACCCCAAATAGGAGCAATACAAGCAGAGGGTGGAATGAGATGGTGTTTAAGGTCCCTTCCAACCCAAACCATCCTGGGATTCCATGAAATTGGCTCAGTGTGGATATTCAGGAAGATCTGAATCACAGAATGAGGAGGTGGAGAGACAGGGAGAGAAGTGGAAAAGGACTGACCTTTAGAGGAACGCGAAACATTAAACTGCAGGGCAAAAAAAAAGCACTGATGGAATTCTGGATACAACCTCAGAGCCCTTTGCAGGGCCTAAAGGGGCTCCAGGAAAGCTGGAGAGGGACTGGGGACAATTAACTGCTCCGGAGTTTTTTTTTCCTCAGGTCCTATCAGGCATCACCTGAAATAAATCCCTCGCTGCTTAAAGACTCAGAGATTG